CTCTATAGAACTTACCTTTAAGTTTCAGTGGCACCTTCTTGTCGCACAGGACTCCAGACGCTAGCCTCCATTTCATCCACCCCACCTCGATACGGTGCATGACATCCCCGTCTATTTTCCCGTCTCCCTGGATAATTGACCCTAGATACTTGAAACTCTCTCTCTTAGGGATGACTTGCGAGTCAAGCGTCACCTCCACGCCCGCATTCCCCGACCCCTCGCTGAACTGACACTCCAAATATTCTATTTTGGTCCTACTCAACTTGAAACCTTTAGACTCCAGGGTCTGCCTCCATAACTCCAGTCTCTCATTCACGTCGTCTTTCGTCTCATCAATCAGAACTATATCATCAGCGAACAACATACACCATGGCACCTCCCCTGGAATATGGTGTGGCAGTGCGTCCATCACCAGAGCAAATAAGAATGGGTTAGGCGCAGATCCTTGGTGTAACCCCATAACCACTGGAAAAGGCTCTGAGTCCCCTCCCACAGTCCTTACCCGAGTCTTAGCTCCATCATACAAATCCTTTATTGTACTAATATAAGCTACTGGCACACCTTTCACCTCTAGGAATCTCCAAAGAATGTCCCTAGGGACCTTATCATACGCCTTCTCTAGATCAATAAATACCATGTGCAAATTCCTCTTCTTATCTCTGTACTGTTCCACCAACCTCCTGATAAGGTGGATAGCTTCCGTTGTAGAACGACCTGACATGAACCCAAACTGGTTATCTGATATTGATACCGCCCTCCTTACCCTCCCTTCCACCATATTTTCCCAAACTTTCATGGTATGACTTAGTAACTTAATACCCTTATAGTTGTTACAATTCTAGATATCCCCTTTGTTCGTGTACAGCGAGATCATCGTACTCCACCTCTACTCATCTGGCATCCTCTTTATCCTGAAAATAACATTAAACAGCTCAGTCAGCCATTCCAAACTTGCTCTACCCACATACCTCCAAAATTCCACTGGAATCGCGTCTAGTCGAGTCGCTTTGCCTGGGCTCATCTTACGCATTGCTCCCACGACCTCTTCCACCTCAATACGCCCACAGTACCTAAAGTCTTGGTGACTCTAGGAGTGCCCCAATTCCCCTAACTCGATGTTTCTGTCTCCCTCTTTATTCAGAAGTCTATGAAAATACGACTGCCATCTCTGCTTAATTTGGGCTTCTTCCATCTATACACGACCTTTCTCGCCTTTGATACACCTCACTTGCTCCAGATCACGAGCCTTCCTCTCTCTTGCTTTGTCCAGCCGAAATAACTTCTTGTCCCCACCTTTACCCACCAATTCCTCATACAGCCGCCCAAATGCAGCCGTCTTAGCCTCCGTGATTGCTACTTTCGCCTCCCTCCTAACTTCTTTATACCTTTCTCTGTTCGCTCTCATCTGCTCCTCGTCGGTGCTCTCCACTAACTTAAGGTAAGTCGTTTTCTTTGCTTTTACTTTACTCTAGACCACGTCATTCCACCACCAGTCGCCTCGGTGCCCACCTAGGTATCCCTTTAAGACCCCTTATACCTCTCCCGTCGCCTCCCTTATACAATCCGTCGCCGTCGTCCACTTACCGCTAGCATCTCCACCACTCTTCTAGGCTCCCATTGTCGCCAACTTCCCCTCCAACTCCAGCGCAGTATCCTTAGTCAAGACTCCCTGCCTGATCCTTCGCTGGCCCCGTACAAACCTCTTCTTCCTCTTTATCAAGATACTGATGTCCATCACCAAGAGTCTATGTTGTGTCGCGAGGTTCTCACTCGGGATCACTTTATAATCCTCGCACAGCCCCTTATCACACCTCCTGAGGAGAAGATAATCAATCTGAGTTTTAGCCACCATACTCCGGAAAGTAATCAAATGCTCCTCCTTCTTCGGAAAAATAGAGTTCACGATCACCAACTCAAAAGCTCTAGCGAAATCCAACAGTGAAGTGCCTCCTCCGTTCCTAACCCCACAGCCGAAGCCGTCGTGTACCTCACCATAGTCACTAGCAGACGATCCAATATGCCCATTGAAATCCCCTCCTATAAATAACTTCTCTGTAGGCGGAGTACCCCGCACCACCTCATCCAACTCCTCCCAAAATCGCCCTTTAACCTCATCGTCCAAGCCCACTTGCGACGCGTAAGCGCTAATGACATTCAGAGTGCTTCGTCCAATTACTAACTTAATCGCCATCAATCTATCACTCACACGCCTAACCTCTACCACTGACTCTCTAAGCTCCCTATCCACCAAAATACCCACTCCTTTCTTGCCTTTCACGCCTCCGAAGTACCACAACTTATACCCGTCAGCATTCCCCCCCTTCGATCCTACCCACCTAGTCTCCTAAACACAAGCTATATTTACCTTTCTTTTTTGGAGAATTTTCGCCAGCTCTATAGACTTACCCGTCAATGTCCCTATATTCCATGATCTAATTCTCAATCTATTGGCACCCTTGTTCCTCTTACCCCCTATGGGCCCCGTCCCATCCCCCGACCCTTGCCCTAATCCCCGCCCCGTCAATGTCCCTAGCTTGTTTTATATACTAGTTCCTTTTTGATAAATTCAAAAAATCAAATATTATGAACCATGCATAAAAAGGCCAAAAATCACTTAAGATGACCGGAGGGAGTAATTAAGACTTTTCCAAGCAAGCAGCTTACTTTATTTAATAATTCTGATTAATTAAATGGTTTCTTTTCGTGCACGCTTGTCTAATGTTCATTAAACCTGCGATTAAGGAGAATTTCCGGTTGATATTGGACAATTAAGTGACGAATACATTTCAATATTCATATCAATGATTTGAAGAAGGCTTTAATCATTGGTCCAATGGTCAAAATTAAATCACGCAATTAAAATTTATGAAGCTAGTGTATAAAGCAAGCTAGGAGGTCACGGGTTCGAACCGTGGAAACAGTCTCTTGTAGAAATGCAAAGTAACGCTGCGTACAATAGACCCTTATGGTTCGGTTCTTCCGCGAACCCCGCGCATAGCGGGAATTTAGTGCATTAGGCTGCCCTTTTAGTGTATAAAACAAGGTGGCGTGACACCCTTGAAACTTTTATGCTGCTGAAATTTTTGGGAGTTGAATATTAATTTCATCGTGTTATGTATATACTTTTAGTAACTTTAAAAATTGAATTTGCAAGTCTTCTACTAAAGTAGTTATACCTTTCGTATATTCATTAAAACTTTGACATTTCTTGTCGTTCATAATTGGAATTGGCTGAAGATCATTCCGAACCAGCAAGCCCTAGTAACAGATTTTTTGGTCATATCTTACAGGTGAAGTTATCAAATATGGCCACAAGACCAGACCAATGATATATGATCTCCATACACAATACGTATTTAATAAAGAAAAAAATACACGCATTATCCAACTAAAAACAAATAAACATTAGCCACTCATTTTGTTATAGTTGAACATCGAGACATATTTGAGGTCACATAATATAATTAACAAGTTTAGTTATACACATTAAGATTAAAAAGAGTTACGCAAATTTCTTATCAGTATATTCATTCCTCTAATGAGGGTACGCTTTTCTCATTTTTCAACTTTTCAGTGAGAGACTAATTAAGCAAAGTAAGCGTTTGTACGGAAAAATGGAAATACGACAAAAGTAAACCAATAAAATTAAAGAATTGAAAAAAATCTTTATTATTTATAGGTATCCCTCCTCCATTTGGGAGTAAAATTATCCAATAAAGGAATTGTTACCTTACCAAAATAATATAATGAACAGAAATAGTAATAAAGGACCAGATATTGGAGTACCGCATGCAGGTTCGGTCGAACCCAGGAGCTTTTGTTCAAGTCATGTATTTGTCTTAAGAAATCCATTGAATATGTACAACCTTTTAATTTAGAACCCAATAACTTAAAATGATTACACTTCCGAACCCATAAATTTCAAATTCTGACTCCGCCTGCGTAGAGTACTGGTATTTATCCATCTCATAAATATAAAAGGGGGAAGCCAATTTAGATGCCCATGAACCATGATAATGAAGTATATAAAGTTGTTTATGCCTATAAAGTCACCTAATTTGTTCAAGGGGTGTTAATTGACGCTCCTCTACCTGCTTGAATATCTTTGCAGTCTATTTGCATGTCATTATGCATGCTATTGAATTTATTCCCCAAATTCTTTTTTAAAAAAAAGTATGAACCAAATCAAGAAGAGTGTATGAAGAAACCATGAGCCAACCAATCATATCGTAGTAAAGGGTAAATATTGGACAATGTTAGTAGCAGGCGGAAATAACCCACTGGTTTCACTTGAATTTTCTTTCCTTCTACTCTATATATGTGTCTGTGTGATTGATTTAATTTTTTGTAAATTTTATATGTAGCAATTAAACCTACACCAATTGTCACAAGAGAATGAATAAATATATTAGTGTGTTGCACTTAAAATATATTTCCTCCGTCCTAATTTATGTGGCGTGTTTGATTCGATAAGAAGTTTAAGTTTTTTTTTTTTTTTTTGAAATTTATGATCTAAAATAATCATAAATATTTATATGAATATAAATCATCTCATTAAGGGTGAAATAAAAAATTTAACATTAAAATTTTTTTAAAAATATAATAACTTTTTTAAGATTGACTTTTTTAAACCTACTAAAAGGAAAAAGCAACTCCCAAAGCGAAAGCGACTATCCTAAAAGAAAGAAATTTAAGTCTGCAGGCCCAGCTGTTGAGTAGTGCTCAATTATTGAACTCTTTCATATTGCACTAATCAAATTTCTATCTTCATTCCTTCTTTGGATAATTGCACTTCTTGTCCCTCAATTATTAACGAATTCTGATGTTCAAATTAAAATGTATATTTTTTATCCATTTACATAGAAACTATGTGATAATTCGACTATTTTTGAAATTATATTATGCTTGTTATAAATATATTATATTATGGATATTCATTTAGTACTCCGTTGTAAATAAGCTTCCTGAAGAAACTTATCTATATGAGACTACGCCGTAAATATGTTTATCTATTTAGTACTCTATTGGAAATAAGCCTCGTGAAGAAGCTTATCTTTTCGGTACCCCGTTATGGATAAACATAACCCGGGTAGAAGATTATCTATATCTGGTATAATGAGCTTATCCTTTCAATACCCCGTTATGGATAAACATCACACCCGGTAGAAGATTATCTATATCTGGTACAATGAGCTTATCCTTTCGGTACTCCGTTATGGATAAACATTACCCCTGATAGAAGATTATCTATATTTGGTACATCAACAACTTGTTTTCTTCTATAAATAGAGGAGATTTCGGTTTATTATGTACATAAGCTTGATGTTTGAATAATATATCAGTTTCTCTCTATACTCTTCTTTACTTTACAGTCTTTATTTTATAATACGTTATCAGTACGAGACTCTGCCATCTCGAGCAAATACTTTGAAAGTATCAGAGGTACGACCTTTCTTTTTCTAAATAATGTCAAATCTTTCTAAACTTGAATTTTTAGTCCTGGATATATCGGGCAAAAGCTACATGTCTTGGGTGCTTGATGCTGAAATTCATCTTGATGCGATGGGTCTAGCAGACACAATCAAGGACAAAAATCAAGCATCAAACCAAGACCGTGCCAAAGCAATGATATTCCTACGCCATCACCTTGATGAGGGCCTGAAAATGGAATATCTCACTATTAAAGATCCAGTCATACTGTGGAATAATTTGAAAGATAGATATGACCACCTGAAGATGGTCGTTCTTCCACAGGCACGTTATGATTGGACTCATCTAAGGCTATAAGATTTTAAATCTATCAGTGAGTATAATTCTGCTATGTTCAGAATTATTTTCCAATTGAAATTATGTGGTGATAATATTACTGATCATGATATGTTGGAGAAAACTTTCACTACTTTTCATGCCTCGAATATGCTCATGCAGCAGTAATATCGAGATATGAGATTCAAAAAGTATTAGAACTTATCTCACATCTTCTTGTAGGCGAGAAACATAATGGGCTATTAATGAAAAAATATGAAAGTCGGCCTACTAGTTCTTGTCCATTCACTGAAGTGAATGAGACGAACTTCCACCAAGCTAAGCGTGGAAGAGAGCGTGGCCCCAGTCGTGGTCATGGCCGTGGTCGGGGAAGAAACTCTAATCATGGTAATAATAATGCACCAAGAACCCTCCTCACCATCAGTAGTGAAAAAGGAAGGAACAAAAGCATGAAGCGGTGTAAGCAGCAAAGGCAGAAAATGCATGCTATAGATGTGGAGGAAAATGGCACTGGTCACATACATGTCGTACGCCAAAGCACCTGGTTGAGTTGTATCAAGCCTCCTTGAAGAAGACAGAGAAAAATATTGAAACAAATTTTATTTCTGAAGATAATTTTGACTTCATGCATTTGGATGTAGCTGATTACTTTGCACTCCCAAAAAGAGAAACAAGTCATGTGATCAGTGATGAATCTGTAAAAATATAAATATATTAATTTTTGTTGTTTGTAATAGATAGTATGGTTATGTAATTGTTGTACATAAATAAAAGTTATGCTTTGATAATGATGTTTACTATCATATTTATTTTGTTTATGTCATTTTGAAGAATATGGATAATCCTCAAATTATGTTTGGATCAAAGACCAATCATGAAGATATTTGTGTAATTGATAGTGCAATAACTCATGCCATATTCAAAGAAGAGAAATACTTTTCTGATTTGCATAAAGAAAAAGTAAATATTTCAACAATTTCTGGTAATATAAGTTTGATTGAAGGCTCCGGAAGAGCCACTATATTTCTGTCTAAGGGAACAAAACTTATAATAGACAATGCATTATTCTCCTCCAAGTCCCGAAGAAACTTGTTAAGTTTTATAGATATCCGCCGAAATGGGTATCATGTTGAGACGATAGATGAAATGAATATGGAATATCTTTGTATTACAAAGAATGTTTCTGGCTAGAAGTGCATTGTAGAAAAGTTACCAACTTTATCTTCTGTATTATACTATTCGAAGATTAGTACAGTTGAAGCACACTCTATCGTAAACCACAAGTTTACTGATTCAAATATTTTTGTGCTTTGGCATGGCCGTTTGGGCCATCCTGGATCAATAATGATGAGACGAATTACTGAAAATTCGAGTGGGCATCCATTAAAGAACCTGAAGATTCTTACAAATAATGAATTTTCTTGT